CAAGCTTTCGATGTTTTTGGTGGGGCTTTGAACAAGCTAGAACCGATCACACTGAAAAACTTTGAAATTGGGTTGAGGTCTGAAAAGCTAGATGGACACTCAGAAAAAGAAATGAAATTGTTTATTGTTGTTTGGCAGTTGTTTTGTTTTGTTTTTTCGGGAAGTTGTTTTGGCAGAACTCTTGGACTTTCTTGGATTTGTGGGCCGGTGCGCCATCTTGCTGATAAGTTCAAATGCAATTTTCAAAATGTTTACAGCCCAGGGCAAGAGTTGATCCTTGAGAAGAGCCAGGTAGTTAGCTTGTTACCGCACATGATACCTTGTGGCGACAATTATGGCGTACCTTGTATATTTAGAGAGGACCAAATAGAGTGCGTCAATCGAATAAACTTTTGAGGTTTATATAATCCATGCTCTTGATTCATAGCTATTTTCTTTTAGGACACCTTACACTAAATGGTATTTTGATAAATTTTGATAAAGTGATCGGTGAATGCAATGAGTTTGTCTTCTGGAGGATGCGGGGGAAATGAAAATTGCTTTGTCTGTGTCTGTGTCGAAGGAGAAAATCTAATGATTTTGATCAATAAAAGTTTCTATGTAAAACGGAATAGTGATTACATAAAGGAAATTTATAGAAATTTACATAAAGAAATGCATAGTTCCTCTTTTCTTCAAATCTATTAACTAAAATAAGAATGAAAAATGAATTTCGAGTAAATATCTCTTCTAAATAAAGTTTCTTTAACACATTCGCGCAGTAAAGAGTAGTGTAGTAAAGAGTTTATAGTTGTAATCTAAGAAACTGAAAGATACAGAACTTAAAGATAAAGTTCTACATTAAAATTGGATATCGGAACTTTACAGTAGCTTTCAAGAGTAATAATATGCGAATGTTATGTTTAAAACTGGTCGAACAGTCGAACTTTTAAAAAGTTTGCTACTTTATAAGCTAATGTCAGTGAGTGCCTCATCGAATTTAAGATCCGCCTAAGATCCGCCTTTCAATAGCTTTTTGGTAACAAAACTTTGGTATTTGGTTTCATTTGGTAACAAAACTTTAATTATAACATTATCAATTCAAAAATCCTAATAAACAAAGTGCATCAATTGAAAATTATTGTCAAAGAAAGCAACAGTAAAACATAAAATCACTCAGCCTAAGAAACATAAGCTTAATAGCCTAAGAAACTTAAAGATACAGTAAAGTTCTACATTAAAATTGGATATCGGGGTTTTACAGTAGCTTTAAAGAGTAATATGCGAATGTTATGTTTAAAACTGGTCGAACGGTGAACTTTGATAAAGTTTGCTACTTTATAATGTCAGTGATGATTAAATCCTATTTGTCCTTATTAACTCATCCTTACTACTAGTTTCTAACAATAACAATAACAATAACAATAACAATAACAATAACAATAACAATAACAACAACAATAACAACAACAATAACAACAACAATAACAACAACAATAACAATAACAACAACAATAACAACAACAATAACAACAACAATAACAACAACAATAACAATAACAATAACAATAACAATAACAATAACAACAACAATAACAATAACAATAACAATAACAACAACAATAACAACAACAATAACAACAACAATAACAACAACAATAACAACAACAATAACAATAACAACAACAATAACAACAACAATAACAATAACAATAACAACAACAATAACAATAACAACATTTATAATGATGAGTTATATTATAATTTATAATATAACTCATCGAATTTAAAAATAAAAAGGACATGATAAACATTGAATGATTTCATCTAATCTTCGTTAATTTGCGACTAACAAATTTCTTTTTCATTTCTTTTTCTTTTCCTTTAGAGTTTCTGACGATTGAATAGATTGAAAGTCGTTCTTTTAAAATCTAATTATTGTTCAGCCTCGATTGGGTATAATAAATCCAATTTAACTAGTCAGCCGTATTTTGTTGGCTTTTGAAACTCAAACATTTGTCCAACCTTTAACTTATAGTTTTTCGCCAAAATTTTACAGCTTTTAAGGATTCTTTTAAGGGTTTATTGTTAGAAACTATAAAGGAACTAATGTAAAGGAACTAATATACTAATAACTAGTAGTAATGATGAGGCAATAAGGACAAATAGGATTTATTCATTCAATTTCATCTTTCAACCATTAGACATTAAAAGGCTAAAAGAAAATTTCCTTGATTTTCCTTGAATTTTCTCTACAACTTAAAGTTAGCATTGCTTTTCTTGCTCTTATTTCTATCATTCAGGAGATGGCGTTTACTAATGAAACGCTTATTCTTTCTGTATTTGAAATCTTTAATCGATCGATCGTCATCTTGAATGGAACAATGGCCTATTGTGCCAATTCTGTCCTCATTTTTCTCATTCTCTTCCACAGTCCAAAACATATGGGAACCTATCGCCATTTGATGTTATGCTTCTCAATCTTCAGTATCATTTATGTAACCATTCATATTGTTGTTATGCCGGTGAGTTGTTTTTTTGATTGATTGATTGATTGATTGACAAAGAAAGGGCATCAGAAGGGGTAGGCTAATTTCCGCAATTTTTTTTTTGCGCAACTCACCATAACTTTCTTCTAAGTGAACCAATCTTTATGATTTTGGTTTCATTTTGTAGATCTCAATAAGTGCAACAAAATGAAGCCAAAAGCATAAAGATTGATTCACTTGGAGGAAAGTTATGGCGAGCTGAGTTGGGCGAGGCGAGTTGCGCAAATGACCCTTTTCTAAGTTTTTCACAAAAAGTTTTGATATTATGCAATAATTTTTAACAATCGTAAACTCACCACGATATGCTACTCGGAAAGGTTGTTTGAGGAGTCGATCAGATTGTGCTGCTGGCAATGCAAAAGGCGCTGCAGGCTTTGGTAGTGGAGGAGAAGAGTACATTTTCTACATTTGTGAAGCAGCTGGTAATTGACGAAATGGAAGCAATGAAACTGCAATGAAAGTTTTAATTTGGAACGAACTGACATGCAAACAAATTGCGGAAATTAGCCTACCCCATACAAATCGAAGAATTGAGTTGCAAATTGGATAAACAAGCTCAGCTCAGCTCAGCAACTGGGTCGTTTGTCGGTCGTTTGTGCAACTCGTTTGTGCAACTCACCATAACTTTCTTCTAAATGAACCAATCTTTATGATTTCTAGTGTCATTTTGTTGCACTTATTGAGATCTACAAAATGAAACCAAAATCATAAAGATTGGTTCACTTAGAAGAAAGTTATGGCGAATTGCGGAAACTAGCCTAACCCTGTTTTTTTAAGGAACAATGAACGAGCAACAAATAGAAAATAGATTTGCGGGGGTACGGTAGCAAAGCGTAATTTGAATTTTGGGGGTAGGCTAATTTTACCTTCAAGCACCAGAGGCATATTTGCGCAACTCACCATAACTTTCTTCTAAATGAACCAATCTTTATGATTTCTAGTGTCATTTTGTTGCACTTATTGAGATCTACAAAATGAAACCAAAATCATAAAGATTGGTTCATCAGAAAGATTAATGTTCGTTTTTTAAATTGCTCAAATTGCTCAAAGCTCAAATTGCTTTAACAAGAACATACGAAATTGAAAGAATAAAATGGAAATCAAAGAAAATTTCTTTAAACTCATTTAGAATATGCACGTGTACGGGTATGGTTTCTGTCTAATACCAACATCATTTTTGATTGCAACTTTCACAGCCGCACATTGGGGAATGACTTTTTGGGGAATGCTTTTTACACAGGTTTCGTTTTTTTTTTGTTTTTAAAATATCATTATTATTGGCTTGATTATTTGGCTTGAATTGAAAACGATCTATCAACCATTTTTTGACCTCTTCTTCGGAATCAAAGTGGTTGTTCGCTAAATCATTGCTCATTGCCTTGTTTTTTGTTACCCATTGTTTTTAAAACACAATTATTATTGGGTTGATGGGGTATGAATTGAGACGTTTTTTTCTGAAATTAAATCCCTCTTTAATGAACAAATTTCAAATTAAAAAGATATTTGCCATTGTTTTCTATGGATTTGTGCCCATTTTACTGGCAGAAAATGCCCAGCAATCGATGCCCAGCAGCTGACTTAAACGCCACTCCACTCAAACTCATCCCAAAAGATTTGTAGGCCTACGAAGGTGAATAGTCAAATAGTATTGGATTGGTGACTTAAACGCCACTCCACTCAAGTTCATCCCAAAGGATTTGTGGGCCTACGAAAGTGAATAGTCAAATAGTATTGGGTTGGTGGGTATGCGAAATTTTTTCTTCAGTTAAAAACTTCAAATCATCCGAGATATTTGCCATTATCTTGTATGATTTTTGCCCATTTTACTGGCAGAAAATCGATGGCCTCTCTCGTAGAAAATCTTTGGTTTTGACGCAAACCAATCTGTCAACCATTTTTTGACCTCTTCTTAGGAATCAAAGTGGTTGTCCACCAAGTCATTGCTCATCACCTGAAATCAGTAATAATCAGAAGGTGCAAGATCAGGACTGTATGCCAGATGGGCCATCACCTCCCATTCAAGTGAGTTTAGTGTAGAACGAGTCATCTTCGAAACTTGAGGTCTAGCATTATCATGTTGAAGAACTATTTTTCTCTTTGAGGTCTTTTCTCTAGCAAAGATTTGGTTGACTTGCCAAGTTGTTCCGAGTATTTCATTAAGTTCAGTGTTCTCTTGGCGTTTTGGCGGCCAACTCGGATCAACGGGTCGGGTCAAGCCAAAAATTTTTGCAATAAAAAGATAGTTGGCATTAGTCCAACAAAGCCGGATCGCGGCTCGATTCAGCGGGTCACTTTTGACCCGATCCGACCCAACCCGACTCAACCCGACCCGACCCGGCCCAACCCGACCCGACCCAACCCAACCCGACCCGACCCGACCCGATCCGACCCTATCCGACCCGGCCCGATGTCCATGTCTAAAGTGAAGGATAGATCCTTTTGTAGCTCTTTCTTTTTACTTTAAAATAAAGAATGAATAGTGAAAAGCATAGTGGAAATGTAAAGATTTCCAGAGTCTCGTCGTGATCTATAAAGAATGACTAGCGAAAAGCATAGTGGAAATGTAAAGATTTCCAGAGTCTCGTCCTGATCTCTTTCCATTTTTTCTATCGCTATTGTTTAATCTGCAGGTATCTTTGATGAAAAAAAGCTTTCTTTTCCTCTAAAATTTTAGAACTTCATGGTTGATTATGTTCAATCGATGGAAATATTTGCCGATTTGGGTGTCAATCTGGGCATTCATGGGTCTCTGCTGTGCCTCATTTCTTCATTTCTTTATGTATCACACACCTGAATTTCAGGTGAATCTCTAGCCTTTTTTTATGTTGAAAAAACATTTAGGCTTATTTTCGAGATATTCTCTGGGAGACTTATCATTTCGATGTGAACACGACGGCGATTCTTGGACCTCTCTATAAGGTTTGCAATTGCAATTGCTCAATTGCTTAATTCTCAATTGCAAAAAGTACTACAGGGTGTCAAAATGTCACAAAATCATCCAAAACTATCTCCTTGTGAACGTCGATTACAAATAATATTCAGAATATCAGAATATCAGAATATCAGCGATAATTTTAGAAATCAAATGAATTTGGTGAAGAGGAATGGGATTTGAGAGCCTTGTTCAGCTGTTCGATGCTCGCTTTTCTACACGGTGCCACAATTATGTTAATAGCTTTTTGTACTTATCAGATCAATAAAACTTTGAAGGTTTGATTTCGAATTGAAATCGAAATGAAAGCAAAATTTAGACTTCAGCAATTAAAGCTAAATTTAGACTTCAGCAATGTCGGAGAAATCCAGAAGATTGCAATACGAGTTCTTCAGAGCACTCCTTGTTCAGGTAGAGTTGAAGTTTGATTCTTCAAAACACAAAATTAACATTTCCAGACGCTCATTCCAACAATCTTCGAGTACATTCCATTCGTTGTGATCTTCTCGAGTCCTCTTTTCTCTCCATGGATTTCTGTTGGAAGAGGCGCCAATTTTGTGCCAATTGCTGTCTCATTTTATCCGATGATTGATCCGATTTGTATCATTTATTTTATCAAAGATTATCGATTCGTTTTGTTGAAGAATTTTAAATGGAGAAGGTAATGTCGATGAACAAATTCTTTCGCTAGTTTTTAAGCCAGCAGTTTTTAACCAACAGCTTTGAGCCAGCAGCTTTGAGCCAACAGCTTTTAGCCAGCAGCTTTCAGCCAACAGCTTTCAGCCAACAGCTTTCAGCCAGCAGCTTTTAGCCAACAGCTTTCGGCCAACAGCTTTCAGCCAACAGCTTTTAGCCAACAGCTTTCAGCCAACAGTTTTCAGCAAGCAGCTTTCAGCCAACAGCTTTTAGCCAGCAGCTTTCAGCCAACAGTTTTCAGCCAACAGTTTTCAGCAAGCAGCTTTCAGCCAACAGCTTTTAGCCAACAGCTTTCAGCCAACAGTTTTCAGCAAGCAGCTTTCAGCCAACAGCTTTTAGCCAACAGCTTTCAGCCAACCGCTTTCAGCCAACAGCTTTCAGCCAACAGCTTTTAGCCAACAGCTTTTAGCCAGCAGCTTTCAGGTACTCTGTAATTCATTCAGATTCAAATCTGAAAGATGAAAGCTTAAAGATGGAATATGATTGACTTTCTTGATCCTTAATCAATCGAATAAAAGAATATAAATAGCATGAAATTTTAGGAACTCAGTTGGTATCACAAAAGTGTTTTCTGAAAAAATGGGGAGCTCCGCAAATCCATCAATGATCCATCAATCCAGCAAATCCATCAATGGGTGATGGCTAGAGGAAAATCCCCAAAACATTGTCATAAAAAAAGGTTTTAGATAGGATAAACAATATCGCTAAAATAAATATTTGAATCAATTACTGTCAATTCAACACAAATACTGCTCATTCGATGAATTTAATTGGTCGAATTTTGCGGAAATCTCTTACTTTATGATGTTCGGTGAATGACTCAACTTGTCATCGAATTCTAAAAAGGAAACATGGCAAGATGAATGATTTCATCTATTCAACAATAATGTGAACTAATGCTTTCAAAAAAAAAGGTTTTTGTAGTTTCTGGCAATTGCATCGAAAGTCGTTCTTTTACAATCCAATTATTGCCCAGACTCGATTGAGTTTTTTCTCGAGTTTTTCACAATTTTGCAGCTTGATTTTAAATAGGTTTTTATTGATAAATTTTTAATGAAACAAATACTTTCTGAAAGCTGATGTTTTAAGGTATCTAAATATTATTAAAACTTCCTAGTCTGACACTCTTTTCTATTTCCAGTTCAAGAGGTGATTCATTCATTTTCTACGGCCAACTTTGTATTTCCTGATGTTCATTTCTTGTCTGGAAGTTTGTTCGATTAGATTCATCTTCATTAGAGAAAGTTTTGGTTTAACTTGGCATTTCTTTACGTTGTCGCTAAAACAACACTAAACCGTGCCCTTATTAATGTATCCCTCCTAAAATTTGCTAAAATAAAACCATTTATTGGCAGAAATACACAAAGAAAAGCAATCACAAAGCCAAAAATTTTGGGTAGATTCACAATAATTTTTGTATTGATTTCTATTCAAATTTCCCTTTTCTTTCATTTTCACCAATCCATATCGAGATACGATTTGAGGAATCTCTCATGAATCTCCGTCCATTCCATGTCACACGCGCGAATCTCGTAGCGGAGGAACTAAAAGAGGTAGAAATAAGTATAAAAAGCAGTACTAATGAATGGTAATTAACTAGATTAAGGTAACTATAAGCTTAACTATAGTTAACTATAGTTAGTAAACTGAAATATTCAATTGAATCTTCTTTTAAACTCATTTCCCACCTCTCTTTCATTATTCACCCCATCGCGATCGTTCTTCAGCTTGTGGAATTCGTCGAGAATCTTCTCGATTTGATCAAACTAAAAGAAAATATTATGCAGAAATTATGACTACCATTTGCTACGAAAGTTTAGAATTTCAAATGATTTGCCTTCCTCTCAATGACCCCCAAAAGCTGTGCCTCGAGAACGACGCGGTGACCGAGGGGAATGTTGTGGTCCTGAAATGAAAAAGAAATTGTTAAGAATCTTGAAATTAAACAAACTATAACTATAGCTATAACTATTAAACAAACAATCTTTAACAAATATAACTAAAAAACTTTTCAAAAATCGATTTCAAAACCTTACCACATGTTCGTCAAGAATCTCGAATCCCTGGCAAGCCTTGTCGAGTACTTCACAGAGAATCTAAAGAAGAAATCGATTATGAAAGTTTGCCAAACCAAAAGATACAAGTCTATCTACAAGTCTTGCTATTATAAATTGCAAGAATTAAAGCTATTCGTCATTCAAAAGCACTACAAACCAATTACATTCAAATTCTTCACCTCAAATCGATCCTCTTCCAGTGATCGATCGGGCCGATCCAAAAGCCAGAGACGATTCTCGATTGGCTTCACGCGATTCTCCAAATCAAACATTCGGCGTTTCAAATCCTAAACAATAATGGATTAAAAATATTAAAGCCAAAAAACAAACGGGCAGATATGGACGAAGAATCGCATCGGGAAGGTTCTTCTTGTCGAAATAGAACGAAATCGGCTTGTCTTTCATTTTCTCCATCAACTCCAAATCGGTGGCGGGCGGAAACGTGAAAACTAAAGGAAAAATGATAAATTATATGCAAAATTGGCTAACTACAAAGGTTGTCTAGCATAGGTTTAAAGTTAACAGGTACATATTATTTGATATGTACTAGTTTAACAGGTATTATAACATGTACTTTGATGTACATATTATAATACCTTTGATGTATACTTCCAAGATTACAGTAGAAAGAGAAAAGGTACATGTTTTCGAAAACAGATTAGTCAAAAAGACTATTTTATAGGTTTTCTTGTTTATTGTATTCTCTAGATTCTCTTCTAATCTAAGAGAATCTAGAGAATACAATATATAATATAATAGCGACAAAACAGCGACAAAACAATATCGACAAAACAAAATCACAATAATTACCCGGGACACCACTCAAAACACACCCAAAAGATAAATAAATACCTCAAGAAAGAATCACAGAGCAGTCATATTATATAAATTCCTTCAAAATTGGCACCAAAATTGAAGCTACTTGATCAAAGTACGTACAAGATAACAGATTACAGTTAGACTTAATAAGTTTGAAAACAAATCCACCTTTCTCCTCGTTTTCCTCTCGATTTTTCTCCTCGATTTCCCCCTCGGAATCCGTGTAATCAATGGCCGTTTTGAGAGCGAATTCGAGTTTTTCTTCATCGTTTAATTCGGGCACGAAACGGCTCTCATCAATCACGAAATTGGTCATCATTTTCTAGAAAATAACAAATAAAAACGCTAAAATAGATAAAAATATAGAATTAATGAAAAAAATAAAAAACTCACCAATCAAAGAGATGTTGGAGAAAGAAAATGAAAAATTCCGTTTCATTTCCCTGTTCACTTTGTGGATAAATGCTAATTTAACGAATTTGTCTCGATTTTCAAATTGAAATTTCGTAAAAAAAAAAGCATTTTTTCGAAAATTCATTTTTATTTTTTTTCTTCCGTAAGCTTACGTGATGCAATTCTCTTATCAGTTTCTCTTTCTGTCACAAAGACACATGATTCACTAGAGCTGTCAAAAAAGATTTTTTTTGCTTTTATTGCTATTGGACTATTGTTTCTCAACTTTTAGATAACTTTTTGAAATTCTATCTATTTTCAAATGTCACTAAAGATGAAAGTCTTGAAGTCGCTGAGTTGTTCACTCTGCGATACGCCATGTAAGTCCAATATTTTGAAGAATTTATGAAAAGAGCTGCAAAGAACTGCATTTTTCTGTAGATTTGAAATGATTGGAAGCATCATCTTATTTTTCATAGTTTAATCCCGAGTGCCGCAAACTTTTTGCATTTTTGTGGTTCGGTTTCGAGACTTGGAATCAATTTTTGCACAAAGGAGGTAACGTTATCGTTTGGGCCGGTTTTTTGTTCCCAGGTTGTGGTCAATTTGAAGTTCGTGTCAGCCAAAATCACATCAATTTTCTGGATGATTGTCTCGTGCCTTTTCTTGCTCAAAATCCAACCGTGACAAATTTTCAACAGGATAATGCGTCCATTCACAAGAGTCAGCTCAAGAAATCTTGGATGATTGTCAACCCCGACCCGGTAGTCCTCTAAAATCTCACTGGAAGTATGAATGCCAGAATTTTTCAAATGATAAATCGTAATGGTGCTTTGGTTGATTATTCTCCAAAATCCACTCGAATTAAATCGATCTGGAGTCTTTGGATTTCTTCTTCGTTATCTCACTTTTGTAAGATGAGAATGGTTCGAAATTCTCCGAAAGCCGAAAACCACTTTCAAATGGAAATTTCGTAAAAACAAAAGCATTTTTTCAAAAATTCATTTTTATTTTTTTTCTTCCGTAAGCTTACGTGATGAAATTCTCTTATCAGTTTCTCTTTCTGTCACAAAGACACGTGATTCACTAGAGCTTTCAAAAAGGAATTTTTTTTAGCGTTTCACTATTGTTTCTCAACTTTTAGATAACTTTTTAAAATTCTATCTATTTCAAATGTCACTAAAGATGAAAGTCTTCAAGTCGCTGAGTTGTTCACTCTGCGATACGCCATGTAAGTCTAATATTTTGAAGAATTTATGCAAAGAACTGCAAAAAACTGCATTTTTCTCTAGATTTTGCCTAAACCTATTCGTTAAAAGGTTACCTTTTGGCCATTGTTACAATCATTATTGTAATTATTTCTATTATACATAAAATCGTATAAACATTTACATTTTACAAACTACATACATAAACATAAACGAAAGGTTTTTCTGTTTTTTCTCTTTTCAGTCTAGATTAAGATTAAGGTAAGGTTTTTTATAAATCCAGTTAATAAAAATAACATTTTTCACAGATTCCAATCAAATCCCCTTTCATCCATCGAGCCCATATCAATTATCGTGTGGCCATGTGATTTGTCGAAATTGTTGGGATAAAGAGAAACAATTTGATTTGAAAGAACGAGCTCATCAGTGTGATCACAATGGATTTCTCGTATCAAGTTACATGATTTCATCGATATTAAGTACTTTTTCCTCATCTAATCGAAACTAAAGCATTTTTCAGATCTTTTAAATCATCCATCAATCAGCCTGGCTCCTGATGGAAGCGGGTTTTTGCTGAAAAAAGTAATTGATGTTTGCAAAACTGCAGCAAGTAAACTTATACCGTATTTTCTCTAATAGTAAGTGCACCCTGGGCGTCGCCTAAATTGCTCGAAATCTCGAGAATCGCTTATCAGAACCTATCGATGTGGGGTCGGAAAATGGAGCTGACGATGAGAACTTGACGATGATTAGAGTGTTGAGCTTCTGCAAAAGCTTGGGAACCGTAAAATAGGCATCAACTCGGCTACAAATCTAGCAAATGTAAAATCTAGGATTTATTTTAGCAAAGTTTAGGATAATTAGAAGCATAGCATCTTTGGACAAATAATAAATACCGTATTTTCTCTAATAGTAGTGCATCCTGAGCGTCGCCTAAATTGCTCGAAATCTCGAGAACCGCTTGGCAGAACTTATCGATGTGGGGTCGGGAAATGTAGCTGACGATGAGATCTTGTGGGGGATTAGAGTGTTGAGCTTTTGTGAAAACTTTGAAAGCCGTAAAATAGTCACCAACTCGGCTCGCCAGGGTGCACTACTATCGGAAGAAATACGGTAATAAAGAATATAATAAAGACTATGTATCAAAAACAGGCGTTTACAAGAGAGAGCAAAAAAAAAATACTTTAACTCATTGATTTTCTTATTAAATTCAAAATTTTAGCCATTCAACGTGCCATCTTGCTCGAACTGTCACAAAGAATGTGAGTCAATAATCAATTTTCTTTAAAAATCTTTAAATTCCAGTTTTCACAGAGCCTCAAAAGAGAAAGCCCTTCGAATTAGGGTGCGATCACACAATTTGTTGGGAATGCTTTCGGAAAATTGGGAAAACAATAGAACAAAGCGATTTTTATTGTGATATTAAGTGCCCAGATTGTGGGAATTCTCGTGATTACTCGATGAGATATGTGAAAAGTCTACTTGAAGGTGAGTCAAATCTGAAGGATACTGTAAAATCCTTTAAATATATGCAAAAATAAAAGAAAAAGCCAAAAAGACTTTAGAATTGGATACCGTATTTTCTGTAATAGTAGTGCAGGCAGGAGGGGAATTGAAAAAATAGTAGTGCGCAGTGGGCCCGGAGTTGATGTTGTCTGTAAAAGTCTGTAAAAGTCTGTAAAAAGCATGAAGTAAATTATTTTCCGACATTAGTAGATTTATAAAAACTTCATTGCTTTGATAAAAACAAAGCTGAACCGTTGAATCTCGAATCGAGTGATCCGGTCCGACCTTCAGACCTTCAGACCTTCAGGTCCGACCCATTATCAGCCAAAAATCATTTAAGTTAGTATAAACATAAAAAGTATAGTGTTTGATAGTTGATACCTGTAGTGTTTTGGATAAGCTGATGGCATTACCTTCAACATCTCTCACAAGTAGATCAGCGCCGCGTCTCACAAGAAGTGCTACCATTCGAATGTGCCCTTGTCGAGCGGCCCAATGAAGCGGTGTCGAGGCTAGGGCACCGCCAACTGCGTTCACTCGACATCCCCGAGAGATCAGATAATCGGCTACCTAAATGGGATATCAACAACTTAATAAGGGCCGAGCCAGCGAACAATCGTCGGCAATCCATTTTCCCGAGGCCAAGTCCAAGGTCACACAATGGAGCTTTGTACTGTTTTTTGGTTGGCCTAAAATTCGATATACACGGTGACCGCATAGTAGGCAGGAGGGGGGTTGAAAGAAATAGTAGTGCGCACTACTATTACAGAAAATACGGTATTCATTCTGTAATGAATAGCTTTCAAAATTCAAATATTATTTTAGAATTTCTCGAAGAGATCCCAGAAATGACTGAACAGATTCAAAGACTCAAAATTGAGGTTTCTTGCATTTTGATGGCAAAAATTTATGCTCAAATTTTAGTTGATCTTTGCTTCATATCGGGAAAAGTTCGCGAAATACGATGAAGAATTTGAAAAAGCGTTCACTGAACTTGAAAAAGTGGGTCTAATTTCTAAACGTGTAAAGAAAGCGCTCAAGCTAGCCCAATCTTATCCCATTTTAAAAACAATTGAGCTACAGTAGCTCTTTTAGCCGCTCAAGCTAGCCTAATCTTATCCCATTTTAAATCTTATCCCAGAAAGCGCTCAAGCTAGCCTAATATTATCCCATTTTAAAAACAATAGAGCTACAGTAGCTCTTTTTTCTAGCCGCATCTTTTAGAAAACGGTTTAATCAAAAAGTCTAATGAAAAATTCTATTCGTTTAGAAAATATCGAATCAAGAACAAAAACGTCAACAACAAGAATGTCAAGAGCAAGAATGTCAAGAACAAGAACGTCAACAACATGAATGTCAACACCAAGAATGTCAACAACAAGAATGTCAACATCAAGAATGTCAACAACAAGAACGTCAACATCAAGAATGTCAACAACAAGAACTTCAACAACAAGAATGTCAACAAGTTCCAGAGTCGTGTGCTCAGAGACGGATTGATGAACCGGATTAAAAATCTAAACAAAATAAAGACTAAAGATTCTTTAAATACCATTTAACACCTGGAAATCAATAAATTTTTTATTTCAAATTGCAGAGATTTCTTTGCGAAACGTTCTTTCACCAAAAAATTTCCTTTTTCAGCATCTACTGGCTTCTTTCTGCTTGTAACTTTCAAATCTTTTTGGCTTTGCTGATGAATTTTCGAATTCAGCATATCCAAGCTTATGTTAGAGCACGTTTATCAATTATCCGCTTTTTCTATCTTCTCCAAAACTCCGAAAAATCGGCACTCATTGTCAGTAAGTTGTCAGTGAAGTAAGGTTCGAAAGATTTCTTGGGAAAAGCTTTTTAATCCAATTCATCATTTACAATTACAAAGTATGACTTACTACAGCTTTTGTTTATTGCTATAATCTGACATCATCGCCAAACTCGTCGTGAATCAAACCCAATCTTCGTCACAAACCTCGTCCAAAATTCTTGAATCGAATCCAATTGCCTCTGATAATTTGTGGACAAATTTTACTTCCTATGAATAGGTGACTAGGAGAAAAGAGGTGATTATTAGAACGCGTGGTGCCGTCCAAGCCAGTAAGCTTTGGTTAGCGATTAAATAATTCATAAAGCTCAATCATCTGAAAACAAAATGACGCTGGGCATCAATCTTCAGCACTAGAGCAACCCGTATTTTTCAACGGTCTCTCGTGCGGTTCCGCGCTGCCGTTTCACTCAAACTCATTTTACATTTTTTAGTTCATTTGTGCATCCCCTAACGGGGACGCGTTCCAAAATTTTTTCGAGACACTCTTGAAGGTCTCGGGGTTAATGCTAACCTCAAACTTGGGTAATTAAACCGAAGAGCAAGGTTTCTGTCGCCGTATCTGGACAAGCCGTGTGCCAGATACCACTTTTTCCTACGAGGCACAGGAAAAGTACACACAGTCGTGTCGTCTCGTGTCTCTGCGAGGGCTGATGCTCTCTCGTGTTCGCTGGCGGCCGCCTTTTTCACTCGTCTCTCACAGCCGCACACTCGCTTACGACCATACCACGTTGAAAACACGGCATCCCGTCCGATCTGCCAAGTTAAGCAACGTTGGGCTCGGTTAGTACTTGGATCGGAGACGGCTTGGGAATCCCGAGTGCCGTAAGCTTTTTGCATTTTTGCCGATCGCTCTTGGACTGGACGAATGAAAAAGGCGGCCGCCAGCGAACACGAGAGAGCATCAGCCCTCGCAAAGACACGAGACGACACGACTGTGTGTACTTTTCCTGTGCCTCGTAGGAAAAAGTGGTATCTGGCACACGGCTTGTCCAGATACGGCGACAGAAACCTTGCTCTTCGGTTTAATTACCCAAGTTTGAGGTTAGCATTAACCCCGAGACCTTCAAGAGTGTCTCGAAAAAATTTTGGAACGCGTCCCCGTTAGGGGATGCACAAATGAACTAAAAAATGTGGAATGGCTTTGAGGCTTGGATTCATTTTTCATAGTTTATAGAGGGTCCACTTCATAAGGTGGAAGATTTGGAGAAAGGAAGGACACCATACCACCACCCTAATGGAGACGGCTTGGGAATCCCGGTGCGGCAAGTTTTTTGCATTTTTGCCTTTTACATTTACATCGGTCTAGCCTTTTGAAAATCAATTTTGCCCAAATTAACAAGGTAGATCGATTGCTTTTTAAATTTCCAACTTTACCTTCTCTATTGCCGGGGCTTTACAGTATACAACTTACAAGATCAGCCGGGTAGGGAGATTCTTTTGGATTTAGAGTTTCAAAAAGAATTCAAAGTGCCCGAATTGCTCACTATGAGATTTCTGGACTTCCCAAAAAGGCAAATCCGCTCCAAAATTTCTCGAGAGACCTTACGGTTCTCGGGGTTTATACTAACCTCTAACTTGGGTAATTAAACCGAATTTCGCGGTCTCTTTCTCGTTATCTATCTGCCTCGTGTGCCAGAAGGCGCGCGATTGTGAGCTCCCCCAAAGTACACCTCCGACACTCACATTTGACCGCCATTTCGGCTAGAAGTTTCAAAATTCTCCAAAAGGAAAGCAACTACTCGAGATCTCTCTCATCTTAAAACGACAAAATGATGCTGGAAATCAATTTTCAGCACTAGAAGAACCCGTTACTTTCAAACTTTTCTCCACCATATAGTGGACGTTTTCCCATGTGGAGTGAAGAGTTGACACATTCTTTGATAAATCACGATGCCTAAGCATCAAAGCCTCAACTCATTTCTCATTTTTAGTTTATTTGTGTTGAAGCAAAATTTAAAAAGCAAATCGATTCCCAGGAACGTCCCTCGTTTTTGCTATCTCGGCAACTATCCAGATATTTCCATGAGCACAATGAAGCCAACGCTTAACTTCGACAAGTGCTGCATAAATTTGTAAACCTTTATTAACTCTACCAAAAATTGAAAATATTTAACCAAGATCATTGAAAAGAAAATTGAACATATGCACAGATACCCGATATTGTGAAACGAAAAAAGCGAGAGGTGAGAAGTGAATCGGGGGTCTGTTGGCAAAATATCATTTGGCACAAGGAAAATTTACAAATAGAAATGAATAAACAGATATTATAATGCATAATATTAAAGCAATTCTGTAAACAAGTCACATGAAGTAAAAATTGGGTGACATTTAGAGAAATCAGTACAAAGCTTATATAAAAATTCAAAGCACATAGAAGTCAAAATATGGATTAAGGGCGTTTAGTTAAAGGCATTCAATCGTTTGAGCTCTCATCGTCTTCATACTGATAACCATTATCAAGTTAAAACTTTAATAAACTTTCTTTACCATTTGCTTTAAATTTAGCAAAAAATTTAATTTACTTACTTAACAAACGGGTAAAAAAGCCTATTATTGCAATTTTTTTCAACTTTGTCACTTACCCGATCAGGAGCATCATCGTCGTCGCTGTCCAAACCATCACAAAGCGTTGGGCGGCTTCCAGCCAAGGCCTAAACGAAAGAATAGCTTGTGAGCTGGCTGAACTTGTTAAAGGTAAGATTACTCATCAATTAAACATCGTCAAACAAAACTCACTGCAAGTCTCCTGCCAACCTCGACATCCACCATTGCACGCTGTTCTCCGGGATTTGGGTGCATCGATCGATGACTTTCAACATAGACCTAAATAAAAGAATGGCTTGTGAACTAGCTGAACTCTGATTGCTCAATAATTAAAAATTTGTAAAAAACTTACTTCTTGTCGCCTGATAATCTCAGCAGCCTCCATTTCTTGTTGTTCTCCGAAGTATGGGTGCGCCGATTGACTATGTTGAGTTTCATCCGTTGACGAAAACACCAAAGATGTGTCCGATGAGATGAGAGACTCATTAAAATTTGCTTGGGGATCGTTCATCTGAATTAATCAACTTTTCAAAAGCTATTCCTTCAAAGTTCGATTTACAAGTTCGCAAAAAGCTAAAACTTACTTGCATGACAAGATTTTCGGCAAGTTTCTGAGATTGAGGTGCAATATAGTGGTCAATTCCTTGTAGAGCAACATGTCCGAATCTCTCAAACAACCACTTCGGAATCTTTTGACGATATACCATCAGTGTCTAACGATTTGAAAATTTTAGAAAAGTGTTAAAATAAACTCGTAACAATTGTGGTGCCTGTTGAAGTTCCTTTCCACCGTTCTTGTTGAGAAGCACAGTGCAATTACCTTCCTAAAACGAGAAACTAATAAACCTTCGAAAGCTTAGCTTACCTCTCCACACCGTCCAGTTCGACCAACTCGATGTGAGTAGGTTGACCAATTTTGGGTTGGCAATTCAAACATGATCACCTGCAACAAAGATTAACACCGTTCACTGCAACCAAATTTAATTTCACGATTTGCAATTAATTCCAATTTTGATCTTTTAAATTACTTACATGGTTGATGCTCGGCTTGTCCAATCCCCTGGCCATGACATTTGACGAGATCAACAACGGTAATCGGCGATCAGTGATCATTCTCATGTTCTTCCTCTTGATGTCTTCAGGCATTCGTCTAAAGAAATAGCTTTTAATGAAGAACCGCTTTTTGACAAACCCAGTGTGAATTTTGAGGTAGAATCCCTTTTGAGTCAACCATGCTGCCAAATTGTAGACTTGCTTTCGCGTGTCGCAAAAGACGAGCGTTGTGTTGCTGTAGGTTTCTGGAATCAAAAGGTAACAAAATAGTTGTAACTTTAGAAATTACAAAACTATTGAAACATCTGCAGGAACTAATTTTTATTCTTGGACACCTTCAAACTAGACGTTTTTCTTTCTCAGCATATCTTGTTATAATACCGTACTTGATGCTTTATCTGTGTCTTCACGTGATCTTCCCATTCGATACAAGTCTCGGTCCAACAGTTGTTCCAAAACTAGCAGCTTCTGCGGAAAATCGTCAACCTACAAGGAGAAATAGGGAAAAATCGCCGATACCCTCACTTGAATCACATTTTGCTGAATCAATGTCGGAAATTGTACGACAACATAACCAATCTGAAAAAATAAAAAGATCAGTACATCCATGGTTATTAGCAAACCTTTTCTACAATTTGGGGCCATTCAACGCCAAAGAACACTTCTAAGCCTCGCTCGACTTCTGGCGATTTAAAGACAAGCGTTGCTGAGAACATCGAGAAGGTTGGTGCAAATGTGGGCTGTAAAAAGAATCATTTTTGTTGGCTTAATTGTAAAAATCGCTGTTCATATTCACTTACCACAGTTTCCCGGCACTCTTGTAAAGCCTTTTGAAACTCCCTCAACTCAATCAGGAATTTACCGCAATGGAACATCTAAAAACATGTACAATAGGAAAAGCGATAAACTGAAACCTCGTCAGCTTCGTCGAAAACAATGTACATCAAGTGGGAGAGATCCAACTAGATAAAAATATTAACTTGATCTTTAACTGAACTTTACAGCAAAACAAACCATTTTCTTCTGCAAGGCTTCCATCATTTTTCCAGGTGACATGAAGAGGATATCCGATTGGAAAGATTTTAAGTATTCGTATCGAGGAAGCCGCGCTAGATGCACGCCTCCAATATGGCAACCGATGGTGATGTTTTGATTGCCTAAAATAGAACTTGAATTTAAATAATCTTTTCAAATTCACACCGGCATCGAGAAATTCGTTGATCTTTAAAGCGTTCTGGTAATGTTGCACCAAGAGATCTTTTGTGTCGGCAATGATGAGGGCCCTCGGTTTTTTCTAAAGAAAAACTTAACACGTCAAACTACTTAAAACTACTCAGAATTCTACGGCTTAGCATTTTAACATGGACTAACAATAAACATACCACACGATCACGTCCCTCTACCAAAATGGCATCCAAAATCGGCGCCAGAAACGCGATCGTCTTTCCACTGCCCGTCGGCGATCTCACAAGTACGTGCTGGCGCTCTAAAGTTAACTGGTTGAGCGGTTATATCTCCCCTTTGGAACTACATAGCATTGGGTCTTATTCGATTTAGTTTAAACACAATGATCAGGAGCAAACCTTTTAGAAACGGGTAAACATAAGATTGAACGGGCCAAGGCTTGAAGGGCTCCTGCTTGTCTTTTCGATTTGGATGTATTTCTTCGAGGAACTGCTGAATTGGATGGCTGACCGCGCACAAATCCTCGAAGCTTTGCCTAAAAAAGCAAAAAGTTAAACAAAATGATAGGAGCTAGATGCATTTTTAATTCTTTAAAACAAAATAGCTACATAAAAAGGACTTACAAGGCTTTTCTTTGCATTTCTTGTGGGTGCACGAGCGTTGACATTTCTGGCTGCTGAGAAGCTAAAATTACGGAGACTAATTAAAGTGATGGTTTAGCTTAGAGTAACAATGAAAAGATCAAACTCACCCATTCCAACTGGCGGCATTGTATCTCCCTAAAAATCAAAAGATAAAAATATTCAAGAACAAAACGAGTACCTTGTTATCGATGCGTTCAATTTGAAAGGCATTCCGTGGATTGCTTATGGTTAGATCTAAAAATTGAATCATCGAAAAGCCTTGTAATTATTAACCATAAGTTAAATTTCAGAGTCAACATAAAACTAGGATTTCTCAATTACACAGCAAAACTTTTGTTAAAACGCTGGAAATGGGTCAGACCTAAAAATAGAGCTTCAAAACAAAGTTTTCAAAGTGCAAACAAATGCTTTGTGCTTTGCTGTGTTACAAACCGGTACGAAGGTAAAACCAGACAGTGCAAAAGCATACCCTTCAATTTTGTAAGTTCAACGATCCCGTGCGAACACTGCCTCAACAATTCATCCATCATATCCGTACCCCTCTTGTCCATTTATTTGCGAGCGATTGATTCACGAGTAAATGTTATTGCTGAAAAGACGACGATTCACCAAAAAGAAGCTTTGAAACGAAACATTTGACAGAACAAAGAAATACGGTAATGACCTACTCGTAGAATTCTATCCACTAGTTTTTCAAAACTGGTTGATTGTGAACCCTGCAAAAAGAAGCGTAAACAAAATCCTAAGAAAAATGAAAGATAGGACCCGAATTTTAAACATTTGCTTTTCAACATGTTGCCTGGATAGTTCTAAATAAATTTCTGGATTTTGCCATGTCAAACATGCTACTTGGTGCAAAATAAAAGACAGACACGGGAATGCATCCTTCGACATCAGAAAAGCTCCAAATACCATTCGAAAAATGAAAGTATTTTACGGCTTAAAAACCAGAGATTTTTTTAAATTCCCCCTAGAAACATTTATTTCACACCTAGCTTAAAATCCCAAAACAAGAAAAGTAAAGGCACAACAAAGAATTATAAATTGAAACTTGGCAAAAAAAATAAAACAATTTGAATAAGACACGAAAATTGTCCAAATAGATCAATTGTTTTTCATTGGCGAATGAGGACACCTTGTGGAAGAACTTGCGTGTTTCCATACTCATCGTATCGCACAGTGCATCGTTGTGGGCCGGGGCCAAGTTGAATGATTGTAGCCGGGTATATCTGAACAAAGCATTTTTTAATTAAGCAAATTTTTAGCTACGAAGCCTTCTTTCGTTAATCTATCCACTCAAAAACTCAAAACTTACATTTCCATCTTCCCATGGAGCCAAACATTGATCGCCAACCCTCCATTCGATTGATCCTTTCTCTTCTCGTTGTTGACGATTTGAAGCTGAAGAAGAGCCAGGCCGACTTGACGAAATCGTTAAGCTCTCCACTAGAAAAAAAACAAGTTACGCGAACACAACTATAAAACCACTTTTCTGCGACACTTCTTTATTCGTTCGTCTTGCCGTATTCTCAAAAGTCATTCCTTGATTTATGGCCGGTCTCTCATTTCGCTCCAATGGATACTTTTGTGGCCTTGGATTGTTGAAATTCTCTAAAAAGTCATAAGCTTGCAAAAATAACAAAACCAAACCTTGTCTCTGTGAAGCCAGACCATTCCTCTCATAACGTTGCTCATTATAACCAGGCTTTTGCTGTTTCTGATTGAAATCTCCTAAAATACGAAGCTTTCATGAGGTTTTAATAAAAACTAGGTGCCTTGTCTAGATTGATTCGACTCATATCGCTCGTTCTTCTGCTGACTGTAGGTCGGCTTTTGTTGTTTCTGATTGGTATCAACTATAAAATATGTTATTACATTAAGTTCTAATAAAATTACCTTGACTAGGCTGACTCGAGTTATATCTGTCCTTCTTCTGTTGACTGTAGGAAGGCTTTTGTTGTCCCTGATTGAAATTATCTAAATTGATACAGTAAAAACATAACTTTCCGGAATTACCTTGTTTCTGTTGAAAACCTTGTGCCCTCGGAGCATCTCGTCGGATTTGTTGGGCTCGTTCGGGAAAATTGTTTCTTCGGTCGTCTTGTCTTCCATAATTATCATTCGATCTCTAAAAAAGATAATTTTAGAAATTCAGAATCGTGTCAAAAAACAAAGACTAAAACATTACCTGATTGAATCGACGATCTTTCTGGAAATCATTTGTTCGAGTCGGCTGTTGTTGAACCGGCGGTGGTGGCGGCTGATTGAGAATCTCGGTCGCTCCACTTGCCTGTGCCACAAAATCAAACAAAGTAGCTTGCACTTTGGGCGCTTGAAACTCGGAAGGAATCTGAAAAAACAAAAGATTGTATGTAAAGCAGTCTTTCAATGTTACCAACTACCGAGCAAAGCAAAAAACCCACGCTTATTCGCAGATGGCAACTTAAAGATTATGATTTGAACCAATTGCTAACCTCCAATAATGTTAGTAACGTCGTTATCTATTGTTCTTTTCTTTAAACTAACCGGCCCATCATCATCGTCATCTCCACCCCTTCCACGTCCTCTTCTCGGTCTTCTATCGTGCCCTCGATCCTCTTTTTGTGCTCGTTCCCTTTCTTTAGCTCGTCTCATCTCTTGTTGTTGCTCTTCCGTTGGAGCTGCTTTCACCGGACCTTGTATCTTTAGCAAATTTTTTCAAAACATTTTCTTTAATTTGTTACTTGTGGCGCTGTGAAGACTTTCTCTTTGTTCGTTTCCTGCTTTGCCGCTTCGATTTGCTCTTTTCGTTGTTGCTCAAAAGCCGTCGCCTCTTCGGTGGCTTCTTTAGGAGCTCCTTGAATTACCTAAATCAAAACATTATTTATGAATCGCCATTGTAAAAACCACCTCGTTTGCTTTGAATCCTTTATTCGCGCCAGTTGGAGCAGTAGCTTTCTAAATTGCAACAATTAAAACATTCTTCGTTTTAAAAACCTTCCCAAACGAAACCCATTTGGGGGCTTTGTTGGCGTTTGAAATGTGACGCTTTGTTGCAACACCAGTGCTCTAAAATACACACATACAATCCAACCAACGAAGTTATCGAATACTTGTTCCAATCTCCACTTCTCGATTAACTTCTCCACTTGTCCGCCAAGAATTTTGATGTGTTGGCTGGTGAGAAAAATGAACCCTCCCTCATAATCGACATCTTTTGTGATCAGCAGTTTCGTGCCAGGCGGGGTTGCAGCACTAAAGTATACGTTTAAACCGAAAATAATTTGTCTTAAATGCTTAACTTCTTTAAATAAGTACTAAAATAACTTACTCGATTCCCTTAATGTAGTCCAAAATGATGGCTGACACAGCCCCGTGTCCGTCGGTCAAATGTAATCGGATTATTCCGTCAGATGAATGCGATCCCTCGTTGATCTTCGGATAGGAGACGTTTCTAAAAAGAAGGTAATGCTTTAAAATTGTAAGAATCTACCTGAATCGAGTGATTTGTAGCACAACTGGTCCCTTCAATTTCCCCTTTTCCTTCTCTAAGCGATCGGCGAGGGTGGGCATTCCGAATTGTCGAATGTCTTCCTAAAGTAGACACCATAATATACCAAATCACGTAGTTTTTTTTACATCATTTTAATACATTCAAAAATCACTCACATCACATAGCTCCTTGTAGAGTTGTTGTCGATTCGCTGGCGGGGACTCATCTCCGTAGATTGCTGAAAGCGCCGAGTCGTTCACAAACCATCCATCGTCCATTCTTTACCTAAAAAAGAGATGTTTATGATTTAAACTTTAAACTTTTTCCAAATAAAAATGTCAAACTGAAAAGAAATTGGAAAAAATTAAACTTTTAGATTGCTTACGCGATGAATTACGGTTTAAAAGTACGCGGATGGACGGGTAAACGTGTGGGAAAAGGGGGACAGAGAAGAGAGGAAGACCTCAAACGAAACCTCAAAATGCCATTTTGCTGTTGGCGATTTGCAGCTTGCAGTAAAATGAAATAGAAAATGAAACAACGGAAAAGTTGTTTCATAGGTTCCTTTGTTAGCCGGGTTAAGGTAAATTTTTCACTCTTTAGTGAGCCGAAAGAGATCTACCTACTTTCGGTTTCTAAAATAACCAGCCGAATTCTGGCTGGATGTTTTGGGGCAGAGGTTTTGTCTCCGTGGCGCAGTTGGGAGCGCTCTTGTCTACGGCCCACATGACCCGGGTTCGACCCTCCGTAGTGCCACTAAATTTTGACTTTAATTTTTTATTTTAAATGGCACAACTACAGTGCCGCTCAAAGGTAATGGCCCCCTCAAACTTTTTAGGTTTTTCATATAAAACAAATGCACAGAGTAATATATTTAAAAACAAAATGTAGATTTTTCATAAACATGCATAAATATTTTGGTTTCAGCTCATTTTGAATGCTTTCTAAAACATCACATCAAAAAGAAAACTTAAGTTCTTTAGAAAACTGAGTCTGAATCAGCCTGCAAGAAAAATGGTATTTTTTGCAACTCCAAATTTCATCACAGTCTAACTTGTAAAAATAACTAATGATTATGTTGATTTTTAAACTTGTATTTGTTAATTTTCCCCTGTTGCAGTCTAATTTAAGTTGATTATGTATTGTTCAATTTTGTTGTTTTTGCATTTTTTATTGACTGTTCTAAAAATTCTAAAACTTGTTTGCAATTCACAATCGATAAAAAAATTCTGAAAACTTCTGTAAAACATAAAACAACAACTGAGTCAAATCGGACATAACATACAGTCAGCAAAAAAGTCTTGCACCATTGTCTCTCAAAGGCTTAAAACCAAAAATTTTTCGCAAAAATAAGCGTTTCAGAGAAAACTTGTTGGCAATTAATTCTACCATTGTGGTCTAGTTTCCGAATATATTATTGATTTTTATTGCAAGTTATTTCTTTTGACGTAAAAAATAAGTTTTATTAGAGACACCCGGTTTAGAGCGCAAAAAAGTCTTGCACCATCGTTTTATTATGTTGTAAACCTTTTCTTTTTGTTTTCTGTGCATTAATTTATTTTTTTAGATGCCCTGCGAGCGATATCTGGAGACTCCGACTAAGGAAAACATTGTCAAAGCCCGTCAAGGAAGTGAAGGCCATTTGTGATCTCTTTATCGACGACCAGCACGAAAGCCTCTAATGGTTTTGAGAGTTCTTTTTTGCATAAAAAATTTGAAATCAAAAACACGGTAAATTCATTTGAATCGAGCCATGTTCGCAGAAGCCGATTACAAAGATTTTATACACATCTAGCGAAAAAATTTCATTCGTAATCGGCTAGCCGCTAACGAATCATTCGTTAACGGCTAGGCGTTTGTTTAATGCTCTTTCTAAGGCGTAGCAATTTTTGGCGACTACAGTAGTCTTGTCTACTTTTTAACTTTGGTTACGGTATTCTTCGTGAACTTTAACAGAATCACATCAAGAACAGTTTGACCTACCTACTTTTTCTGCTGTATATGTTCAGGAACACCCTTTCATATCTGGTCAGCTATCCTAATATCTGTACGAGCATTCAGTGATACTTACTTCATCTTATTTGTGGTTTTTGCACTTTCCATCACGGCCATCATTTTAGTGAGTAATGAGCATTTATAGAATAGAAAAAGCTTAGAATATGATGTTCGTGGTTTGGTGCGACAAGATCCTATCCACGACGCGACGAATGAGCAAGCGAACACAGCTACAGCAACGGAGATTTTTTGCTCGCTCTGTATTCAAGTTTGAAAGTGTTCAAAGGGTCAAACCACCGAGAAAAGCTCAATAACCTGTCTAACGTCTAACGATAAAAATCATTGATCACACATTGACCAGGCTTGAAACAGTGCCAACTTTAGGTCTCAATTCCATTGGTCTCTTTGAGAATCCCATGGCTTTGTTATGCTATCCTCCTCATTCGACCCGAATATATCAATCAACTATTTTAAACAATTAATAACTTTTTCTTTGCGAGCGGCTGTGCCCACGGAACGTTATCGTCATTATCTGTCTTGGCCTTAACAGCACCTTATCGAGATTTCACTCTGACTTTAATGCAAAAGCTACCATGTTTGAGGAAAACGTTGAGAAAGAGAGATCAAGGTTTTGTAACTTCAACAAGTGCAGCATATAATTTTGTACGCCACATATATAAAATTAGAAATTTATTTTAAAACACACTTACAGTACCGTACTCTAGAAAATGTCTGAGCAATATTTGTATTTATGCTATTTTCTCACGCTGATCATCATTTGCCCGATGGCGCTACTGTTTTGAAAGTCTCTTTAATTTTTATCTTTATTGTGAACGCGCACTTACAACTTCATTTAACTGACACATTCACGACTTGCACTGGGTTTGAACATCATTTCGTTGCTTGTTCTTTCTAAAAAACGTTCTTGAAACTATATTTTTTGTTTCAGCTTATAGACTTTCACTTGAATGTTGAAAACTTCTTCACGAAGATAGAGATTGTCGAAAATGGCCGAAAAACGAAAGCTACTTGGTGAAATCGACAAATGCTTTAAGAAGGTAAAACATTGTTTCTTTATTTGCTAAAGTTTCTTTTAGATTGATGAAGGTGTGGAAGAGTTTGAGGTTATCATGCAGAAGATGCAAGATGCCAACTCGGAAAATCAACGGGACAAGTATCAAGATGATTTGAAAAGAGAAATCAAGAAACTACAAAGGTAAGCGCATCTATTTGTTTGTAATATTCAATTTGTTGCCTTAGACTTCGTGATTCGTTGAAGGGTTGGCAAAACAATCCGGACATCAAGGACAAAGACAAGCTAACACAATATCGACGATTGATTGAACACCGAATGGAACAGTTCAAGGTGTTTTGATGCTTTGCGTATCAATAATTTTATTGTTCAGGATATTGAAAGGGAGAACAAAACAAAGCCACACTCAAAAGTTGGACTTTGTGCGGAAGAGAAAGTCGATCCAAAAGAACGTGAAAAAGCAGAAACAACTGAATGGCTTCAAGTTTGTTAATTTTAGGTGACAGTAGATTTTTATTTTTGTAGAACATGATCACCGACTTGGAGGCTGAAGTGGATCGAACGGAAGCACTGATAGAAGGCCAAGCTCAACCAGACGTTTCAACCAAGAAGGGTCGAAAGGGCAAAGATGATTTCAAGAAGAGCGAATCCGCGGTGTGCCTTAAGTTACATGTGTGAGCAGAGTCAACCAAATTGTTGTGATGATTTTATTTTATTCGTTCTTTTCGGTTATGATAGAACGAGAGTAAAAGAAAAACGCACGTGAAGTATAGCTCAAATTAGGGTGTGCATTTGAGATTTATTAGAAAATTAAATTGTTTTTTGTTGCTCTGCAAGCATTCCTAGATGCACACTCTTAACTTTGTAACGTCATAATCGTATTGTACTGGCAATTATTATTATTATAAAGTGCACCTTTAGAAAAAGTTGGACGATCTCAAGAAGCATCATGAAAGAATGAAATTCCACATTCAACAACTGGAAGTTAGGGTTTATTGCATTAAATACTTTATGGGTATTTCAGCTTTGCATGAGACTGGTCAGCAATGAAACATTGGAGCCGCAGCAAGTCTTGGACGTGCTAAAAGTTTGGATTTATTTAGGTGAGAGCAATGAACTGTTTTAGGATCAAGTGGAAATGTTTATGGGAAGTCTTGATCCAGATTATGATGGAGAAAATGGAACCTCGGAAGAGCTGGACCCTGAAAGTTTGACATTTAGCAGCTACTTTTACTGAATAGTTTTAGGTGCTTATGAAGAGTTGGATCTTGAAGCGCATGCAACAAAGCTGGGTGGAGTAGTCCATGTAGCTACAATCGATCAAGAAAACGAAAAGACTACAACAACAGCGCCTCCTGCACCTACGCCAAGTTGAATTTTTAGATTTATACAAGATTAAGTTTTTACTATAGTACTCACCGGGTCACAACCGCCCTCTACCAACTCGCCATCGCCACTCAACAACGAGAATCATAATCCACCATCAACTCCTACACCAGCCGTTGTTAGGCCTACAATTCAGACATTCAGTCACATAACATCAATTGTGTCTAATAAAAGTAATGAGGTACGTGTTTGTTTAATGCTTCAGTGGAGTGTTTAAAGCTAGTTCGATTGATTACAAATTCAACCTGCAAAAGGGGATAGCTGTTGTTAGACAAGGAGATGTATGTTTTGTAATACGGAACAGCTACTGAGTGAGCTAGCAGAATTAGCTTTAGTAAAAAATGTTATGGCGTATTTTTCCAGGCTGAAGCTGTCAAGACTCCGATAAAGCAGATCACTGTGGCTGAGATCATCTCCAGTCCAGTTCCGGCTTCTAGTCCTCCTCAAGTGGTAATATTATATCTTCTGATAATATTTATAAACGTTTCAGATACAAAATTCTCCAATGAAGGTAGCACCGTTGCTTCCCGTAATGGGCATTACACCTGTTAGCAATTCACCTACTATTAAACAGCGTTCGTTTGCTTATCATTTCTTCAATTTTTGTTGTTTAGAAATGCTTTCAATAAAAGATGAGGAAGCTCCTCGGCAAGTTTTACGGGCATCTCAAACGGATAACACAAAGGGAACGCCATTGAAAAATGTATAAAGCATTTTATCGCGTTATTTAAGATGTTTTTTAGGTTTTGATAGAAGAAACGCCGTTGTCTCTTATCAAAGAAAGCATCCGATCAGAGTCTCCTGTTAACAACCAGCCAGTGCCTCCTGCTACCAACAAGCCAGTACCTCCTGTTACGCCTGCGAATGATGTGCCTTTGCCTACTGTAGAATCTCGTTCGTTTCTCTGTTTTCTTAAAAGTTTCATTTATTTAGAATCGCCTCCAGACGCCGAGGATACACTCCGACAAATTATTCGGACAACAGCTGAAGTCACAAAGGGTCCAACATTAAAAGTATTAAAGTTTCATTTGTTTTTACATTTGGTATTTTAGGGTTTGATTCCTTCCTGGCTAGGAGCTTCACCGTTGGGCCGTACCGCTCCAAGTTCGGAATTGGATGCTCAAGTCCTCGCAGTTGATCAGGCACTGATGAGATGTCCACCATATTTGGAATCTGAAAGACCAAGGTGAGGATTATCACTGGTTGCAAAATTATCGTCAAAGCGAAGTGCAAAAGTCATTACCAATGCTCGTGTTCAAAATCCGTTTAATGAATATTTTTAGATGCTACTTGCCCAAGCTGAGTTGCTCTGCGCCGTCTTATTATCCAGCCAGCACCCTTGCTCATGTTGATACACTGGAGTATTATCTACGTCTTGCGCCCGAAACGCTCTTCTTTGCTTTCTATTATATGGAGGTAGAATTCTTAGTTCTTTGAAAATACGTATCATATTTAGGGGTCTCGTGCGCAATTACTTGCAGCAAAGGCATTAAAACGATTGTCGTGGCGCTTTCACACAAAGTATCTGATGTGGTTTCAAAGACATGAAGAGCCAAACGAAATCACGAACGAGTTGGAACGGGTGAGTGTTTTAAATGTTAATGATGGACAAAAATATAGAAATATTCTATATCTAAAGGTGATTGTAAATTATCTTATGTTTAGGGAACCTACGTCTATTTCGATTACGAAAAGTGGCTACAACGGAAAAAGGAATCATTTGTCTTTGAGTATCGATATTTGGAGGACAAGGATTTCGATTAGCTTTATACATATAGTAAATTGATTTTTTCAAAAGTCTGTCGCTTGTGTGTTTTAGGTTTGGTTATAAGAATTGGTATATGTTTCTATTATTATTGGTTTCTGGCTTTCTAATAAAAATTTCTCAAATGTAAAAACCTTATTTTTTTCATGCTGTCAATCTCCTACAGTTGGTTTAACAGTTGCGAAGGGAACGGTAGCATTCAGAGCCGCGTGGAATGGGTTCTCAAAGTCTATCTCGTACTTTGGGCAGTAGTCCGCCAACAATGTGTAAGTGCAGGCACCCGCACAGCGAGTGTGTGAGAGATCCGTGGAATTTGGTGGCAAACCTACAAAATTGTCATAGTTCCAGACTTGCGATGGAACCGTGAGGCTTAAATTGAACTCCAAAAACAACTCACGCAATTGATTGCCATTGTGAGGTCCTTACTACAAACGGCAATGGTGGCCTTTGCGTTGTGATCGGCTCTCATTTTGATGACCTCCTTTGACGGTGGATAACCTCCATAACTTGGGATAAGCTCGTCAGTTTGGGAGTTGACACCGAAAAGTGAAGCCGAGAAATTCAAATTGTAAACGATTCCACCGTTCGATTTTTGAGTTTAGCTTCTGTTTTGTCTGGATACTGTTGTGGAAATCGTGGAAATCGGATAGAATACGATTATTGAATGTGAGAGTGAGTGCTAATTGGTTGTGCAACTCATTGAATTCATTTAGAATCGACTGTGTTGGAACTTTTTGCGAGCAATAAAATGATTTAATTGTCACGCAAACAGAGCCCATAGAGGAACTAAGCCTTTGAGCATCCCCGATCACAACCCGATTCTTAAAAACTATTCTTGAGCATCCCCGATCACAACCCGATTCTTAAAAACTATTCTCCATGATAGCCCGTGGTCTAAAAGGTGCAGAAAACATGTTTAAAAGTAAAAATATTTTCTTACCCAAGACCCTCGGACGATCTCGAAAAAAAATGAACGTGATCCCCCTTACGATCTTTTTTGAAAAACCACGTTTCCAAAAAACAAATGTTTAAAAAAACTCAAGATTTCGAGGAGTCGAAAGGGGTCTTCTAATAGAGTTTTGACGGTATATTGAGTTACTCTTGAAAAAGGCGTTTTCTAAAAGGTGGGCAATTTTGATTAGTCATTTTCATTAGTCACTCTAGATGTGATCTCAAGATTACCGTAGCCCGCCAGTAACCCCGTCAATACGCATCGTTAAGTTTACTTGTCAAATATTCACGAAATTACCCATACCATGGGGTGGAAGAGTAATGTATGAGCTTAATTTTTCGGCTAATCGAAATATCTACAGTACTCTTACAGTAAGTGTGCTGTACGTATTGCTCTTACACATTTAATCGCCAAGTCCAAATCGTTTCCACAAACTTTGTAATCTCTGTTGTTGGGGTTCTTTTTTTTTTGCCATTTCGATGAGTAAAGGCGTTTCAGAATGGCAATCAAAGGAAAACACGGTGGAAACGGTACATAACATCACAAAAAGCGTCAACGATTTCACTTTCTTGACTGCTTTCTGGCTGAATATCTTTGTGTTTTTTTTTAGTTCTACATTCAATCAAGTATTAATGTGATCGTAGAGAAAGCAACTCGCTTACAATTACACATCTATAATGATCAAAGGAAATACAAAAATCTATAAATATCATTATATCATATCAGAGTCATCTCAGGGGAGATCTAGACTGGAGCTTATTGGAGCTGAACACATGCTTTATTCAGCCTTTATTCGAATCAAAATTTTCAAGTTACTGTAGTGACATAAATGGAATTGACTCGAAAATATTTTTGTTTGGAAAATCCTGGAACACATTTTAGATTTCAGCACGCATTTTAATAAGGACACATTTTAGCATACAAACGGGGTAGGCTAATTTCCGCAATTTTTTTCTTGCCCAAATGGGTCGTTTGCGCAACTCACCATAACTTTCTTCTAAGTGAGCCAATCTTTATGATTTCTAGTGTCATTTTGTTGCACTTATTGAGATCTACAAAATGAAACCAAAATCATAAAGATTGGCTCACTTGGAAGAAAGTTATGGCGAGTTGCGCAAATGACCCTGTTGCTTGAATTTCCTTGAATTTTCTCTACAACTTAAAGTTAGCATTGCTTTTCTTGCTCTTATTTTCTATCATTCAGGAGATGGCATTTACTAATGAAACGCTTATTCTTTCTGTATTTGAAATCTTTAATCGATCGATCGTCATCTTGAATGGAACAATGGCCTATTGTGCCAATTCTGTCCTCATTTTTCTCATTCTCTTCCACAGTCCAAAACATATGGGAACCTATCGCTATTTGATGTTATGCTTCTCAATCTTCAGTATCATTTATGTAACCATTCATATTGTTGCTATGCCGGTGAGTTGTTTTTTTGGTTGATTGATTGATTGATTGATTGAAAGGCATCAGAAGGGGTGGCTAATTTCGCAATTGATTACTTACTTAAAACAAATTGCGGAAATTAGCCTACCCCATACAAATCGAAGAATTGAGTTGCAAATTCGATAAACAAGCTCAGCTCAGCGCAACTGGGTCGTTTGTGCAACCCCCCAAAAATTTCTTTTGGCCCCCCCGAAAAAAAAAAAAAAACAAAACAAGAGGGAAAAATTTGATAGCAGATTTTACTCAACTCAAAAGAATCTCTTCAATAAAATGATCAAAATCGTTGAAGCAAATTTTAAGTTCGCCACACTTGAAGACTCCTAAAAGGAAATTTGTCTTTTTTTGTTTTTTGTTTTTCCACCTCTCCATCACCCTCATCATTCCATTTCCTTTTCATCACCTCTTGATCTTTCAAATAATAATTGAGCATAGTGAAATTCGGCTAAAATGTTTCGAAAACTTTTTGAAATCATTTTAATTCCTCACTGCATTACAAAGCTTTCCTTGACAACAATCCATTGTCCCCTTAATCACTTTTCCGTCTCGACCCTCCCAGAATTCCCGTTGCTAAACGTAAATTTGCTTAAAAGCTCAAAAATGCTATAAGTAACTACAGATATTTGACGAATTTTACAGATTTTACAATTCTAAAAGTTCTCTTTTCAAAAAGCAACCGGTGGATGTTCCCCTCCTTCACACACTCCATGCCCATCACCGCACGTCAAAAAGATCAACCGTTGTCGTTTCAATTTTTTCGCGTATCCTGGATATTCGACAAACAACCCGCAATTTGTATCATCACATGGAAATTCATCAACTTTATCCTAAACTAGAAGATTGCTTTTGTTTAGAACTGACATCATTGCGTCGAGCACAGTTCCACTATGATTTTCAATCCACGCCAAGAGCAGAGCTGATTCTTGGCTTACTATTAGCTGGCCTAACTCTTGGCTTACTATTAGTTGGCCTAACTCTTGGCTTACTATTAGTTGGCCTAACTGTTTTTCTCAATCCCTTTGTATTCCAATCAAATAGGTTGGCAAAAGATTCAATTTGTGTTAAACAGGAGACTATTACCTTAATTTTTTTATTACCCTAAATACTCTAATAGAATGCCACTCCCATAATGACGGGCATGCATTCAATGTGCCTAGTAATTCTTCATTAAATGGCACCAAAATTGGGTCAACTGAATGTAGTTGGTACTGTAATAAGGAATAACAAACCGTTAGTCCTTAACGGGACAACGGTAGTTTTCTTAAAGACTGTAAATACTCTAATAGAATGCCACTCCCATAATGACGGGTATACAGTCGCGAAGTCTAACTTTGAATGTCCAATTCTTCGCATTGTTTTATGCTACAGTAAGCGCTTGAGTGTCAAATGATAGCCCTTGAAATCTAATATTTTTTTTGGTATAAAAAGTCTAGTTGAGAAAATCTAGGGGCTGAGAAAAACATGATTTTCTAAAAAGAAGTCATACTATGCGACTGTACGAGGCGGTGGCGTTCTATTGGATTGGTGAATTGAACTGCTGGCTATTTCGAGAGATTCACAGATAAAAAACAACAGCATTGAACCAGCTGAAAGGGGCTTTGATTACTTCAACATTTCCTCAAATTATTGCGAAAAAAATTATGCTTCCAGCTTTTTATTTTTTTGGTATTTTTCTTCACTTCTTCTATTGCACTCGACAATCTGCCAACGGGACATATTCGTCATGTCATGCTTCATGAGTTCCCACAAGAGCACCGTGCAGGCTTGGCAGCTGCTAATATTAAAAAGATATATGGGGAGGACTCACCTTCCGAAAGAATGTGTCGAGTATGGTTTACCAAGTTTCGAGCTGGGGACAAATCTTTAAAAGATACAGAGGGCCGTGGAGCGGCACCCCAGATGGATGATTTCAAATTACTCGAACTCATTACCAACGACCATCGGATATCATTGCGTGAATTGGAGAAGAGTTAGGGGTTGATCATGTTACAGTGCTAAGGCACCTTCATACCCTTGGATTTAAATCGAAACTCGGGACTTGTGTGCCCCATGACCTCACTGGCCCCCAGAAGTGGCAGCACGCCTCCATCAGTGCCGCTCATCTCTCACGATACGAAAGGAAATCCTTTCTTCCTCGAATCGTGACAGAAGATGAGAAATGCAGGCTTGGCAGCTGCTAATATTAAAAAGATATATGGGGAGGAAGCGAAAGAACGTGTCGAGTATGGTTTGCCAAGTTTCGAGCTGGGGACAAATCTTTGAAAGATGGAGAGGGCCGTGGAGCGGCCGTAAAGCGAGAAGTGAAGAAAAATACCAAAAAATAAAAAGCTGGAAGCATAATTTTATCGCAATAATTAGAGGAAATGTTGAAGTAACCAAAGCCCCTTTCAGCTGGTTCAATGCTGTTGTTTTTTTTATTTGCGAGTCCCGCGAAATAGCCGGCAGTTTTCAATTCACCAATCCAATAGTTGCTCGTTGACTTGGCGGTGAATTACCAACAGACGGTCAAGCGTTTCTTTTACGGTTGCACCACTTTTCTGGCTTTGTATCACGCTAGCTTTAACTTGGCGTGCAGATAAGAAATAGCCGGCAGTTTTCATTTCACCAATCTAATATTAGAGTTTTTACGGTAGTGTGTCTAACACCTAATCTGACCTAAAGTTTAAATCTTTTGCACGTGTTTCAAATACGATTACAACAGTGTTTCCTGTAGGAGAAGGAAGGTTTAGACAGAAGCCATGTGCAGAAAATTGGAATAAGTTAGGCCACCCTTAGACTAAAGCAATATCCTACTGTTTGACCTTACTATTTACCTTACTATGACTTAGTTTGTCGGACAAAGTCGGAGTTTGTCGGACAAACTAAAGTGTTCAGGGAAAATTATAGAGCCAGGACAAATTAGAGTGTTCAGGCTCTAGAGCAAAAAAGAAAAAAAACTGCTTGCGCATCCAGTCCAACAACTCACCGGGTCTCCCGTGTAATCTCCGGAAAAACACAAATTCTCGTTGACCAATTGATTCGTATTATAAACTCGATAGATATCCGAGAGGACAAACGAAATAAAAGCGAAGAAAAGAATGTACATTTTTCCGATAGAGATTATTTTGATTGCTCACCTCATTTCGTGTGTTTATCAAATAGTGGGGAAAAAACACAATGAATAAACAATTTGTAGAGAGGGGTTTCGATGGGATTTTTTTTTGGCTAGATGCATTTTTTCTCCATTAAAATCTTAATATGGTTTTCTGTTTTGAGAATTTTTGTGGTTTAAAAAGAGAAAGGGTAAGAAAAATAATGGAATCGTCAATGACAGGGTAAGGAAAATAATGGAATTGTCAATGACATTGTCAATGACAGGGTAAGGAAAATAATGGAATTGTCAATGACAATAGATTTTCAGATTCTCAATTGAAAAAAGACATGTATTTGCGAAAGTTATGTTAAACTAGTCAAAAATTCGATAGAAAACCTTCTTGAACCTTCTCTTACAGGAAATACTGTTGTAATCTTATTTGTTATCTGCTAAATTATCAGCAAGATTAGTAGAATGAGTAAAAAGATCTAAAGCCTACAGCAGAAACATGTGACGAAGCTATCGGACATCTGATAAGCCCCGCTCCTTTTCAACCCAGCAATCTAACTTTGAGCCTAAATTTCTTGATGTTGGACTGTCGAATTTCAATATTCTTCGTATCATTAGTTGTTTCCAAGTCTTTCTCTGTCGATTTGTACAAAAACTATTTAAATTGGACACCAAGAAATTTGAGCTTAAAGTTAGATTGCTAATGGGAAAAGGGGTGGGGCGCGTAGGTCTCACCTTTTATACTTGCCCCGCCCCTTCGCCATTAGCCATCTAACATTGAGCTCAAACATCTCGGTGTTTCGCTGTCCAATTTCAATTCAATTCAATATTCAATATTTCCTTTTATACTTGCCCCGCCCCTTTTGCCATTAGCAATCTAACTTTAAGCTCAAATTTTTTAGTGTGGGACTGTTCAATTTCAATTTAATTCAATATTCTTCGTATCATTAGATGTTTCAAGTCTTTCTCTGTCGATTTGTACAAAACTATTTAAATTGAACAGCCCAACACCAAGAAATTTGAGCCTAAAGTTAGATTGCCAATGGCGAAGGGGCTAAGCCTAAGCCTAAGCCTAAGCCTAAGCCTAAGCCTGAGCCTGAGCCTAAGCCTGAGCCTAAGCCTGAGCCTAAGCCCAAATGTCTCAAAATCTTTGCTTGATTCATGAATTCCTTTGTACAATATTATACAAACAGCCGTTCAACCGTAAAACCAAGCCCAAGATTTCACTATTTATAATCGAGTAACAGAATAATGGATCGGGTGCGAAAGAAATAGTTTGTGTTACATCGAGTTTCAACTATTTTACAAAACATTCGCGAGATTTCAGTACCGGATATGCATCAGATACCAGATCTATATTATTTGATGATGCAATTAAAGCTCTAAAGCCTTGTTAGGCTACACAAGTAAACACTCTTCATCTAGCACCTTCTTTATTTTCCTGCTTCATCTGGTAGCTTCTCAAAGACTCTGCGTAGTTTTTTTTTTTCTTGTTTTTAAAACTTTTCTTTTGTTTCTTTATTTTCCCTTCCGTGTTTTCCTCGTTTTCCTCCAATCCCCTTTTGATTGTGCCCAATAAATTCTCGTAGTAGCCGGGAAAAGAAAGGAAAAAGTTTCCACTCCCGCAAATGGTTTATTCGAGAAAAGGGAAAAAGAGAAAAGAAAATAAAAATTGAAATTCTTCAGTGCTGTAGATCTGAATCTTTTGAGCAATTATCTACAAATCTTCTCGATTTCATTGTTCAAGTTTAACTGTTTATAGCTCGATTGTCTATAACGACAAATATTTGTTCCTACAGTACTGGACAATGAAATATCATATTTGTTATCTGCTAAATTATCAACAAGATTAGTAGAATGAGTAAAAAGATCTAAAGCCTACAGAAGAGATATGTGACGAAGCTATCGGACATCTGATAAGCCCCGCTCCTTTTCAACCCAGCAATCTAACTTTGAGCCTAAATTTCTTGATGTTGGATTGTCGAATTTCAATCATCTTGGTATCATTAGTTGAACGATCGTCACTTTCGCGCGTCTATAACTCCCTTGTCTTTGAGTTTAAACTATTAGTGTTATACATTTTTTGAAAGCTCTTTTCAAGGGCTACACAATGGTAATATTAATATTTAGAAATACGGTAAAGACAAGGGAGTTACAGACGCGCGAAAGTGACGATCTTTTTTTGAAATATGATATTTCATTGTCCAGTAGTGTATATCTTTGCGTCTTTATTTTAGTTTACAAATCACTATTTTGCAAAAAAACACTAATTCCTAGAGCCCACAAATTGCTTCAATTACTTCAATTTTACTTTCATTTGCCGGGAGTGAAATTCTCTTTTCATCTGCTGAAGCGCCCAAGTTTCTACTGCCAAAAATGGAGGGAAGATTGGGGAGAAAATGAAGAGAAAGATGGAGAGAAATGGATCAAGAAAAGAAATGAGAAAAGGAGGAAAAGAAAATGGGGAAAAGCAAAGGGATTTTCAGGGTAGAGAAAGGATGAAAAAGCGGGAAAAGCGGGAAAAGCAGCCACTGGCCGGGGGTCTTCGTTGAGAAATCGATTGCGTCGCACATAGCCGTGTATGGATAAAGATATGGAAATGGAAAAGGGAAAGGAGAGGCACCATAAGGGGCGCTTCAGTGGACTGGACTGGGAAAGGAGCTGAAGAGGGGTACTGGGACTCGACTGGACCACACTAGGATATCCGAGTCTCTCTCCTTTCTCTTTTTCTTCTAACTCTCACCTTTTTCCCTCTGCATTGCTTTCTCTTCTTTTCTTCGTTTCCTTCTTTGCCTCTGCCTTCTTCACTAGCCTCTTGTGTTGCCTTCTTTTCCTTGCTTTCTAGCCCTATTTGGATTCCTAGTGAGCTCCACAAAGCGCCCATTCTTGAGCACTCGCTAATCCAACAATCCCACGCTCTTTTCACTCTCAGTTTTTTTAAGTCATACTCTAAGCACTTTCGATATTCGACCGTTTGATTTTCGAATTTAAATCCGTTTTAGTAATACTTGATTGTTTGTTTTGTGAATTTAAATCCGTTTCAAGCTTGCTTTTGGTGATTTTCCAAAACTCTGTTCTCCTTTTGGTCTTCTCCTTGTTCGTGTCTTGTTCGTGAGAACTGAGAAGTCTGAAAAGTGAGATTTTACAGTTATGATGAGAGTTTGCCGGTGTGGGTGCTTGGCTCGAGGCATTGTCAGGAATAAAATCAGCCACAAGCCAGTACAAGCCAGTCTCTCTAGCTGCTACAAATCCTATTAGCTATTGGTTTGACCGGAAAGTCTTGTCCGCCTTTTTGAAATTTCCTTTTATAAATGAATAATATAATCGATAAACGTGTGATTTGCTTTAAATAAAAAGATTACCTATTTCATTTAGCTCATTTTTATGCAAATTTGAGTCCGCTTTGAAGCAAATTTGAACGGGAATTCTTGTTTTTCCGAAAATTTCCTTACAATGAACATAGAATGAAAAAGACTTGGTGAAATGTTTTGTAAATTTGTCTATCTGCCTAACTTTTCATTCTCTATCTTTCGTCTTTTGAATCAAAATAAGTTTCTTTCACAAAAGGTCCTCAAATTAACTATCAATCGTAACTAACTACTGTAAATACTGTAACAGCACCCCACCCGGGTGGGGTACTATATCCGAACAACCTAATAGTACCGCACGCCCATAATGACGGTGCGGAGTGTTGCGTAGGCTAGCTTTGAACGAGTTTTTCTCGACACTGGCTTATGCTACAATGCTCGCTTAGGTATCAAAAAATAGCTGAAATTCAGGGCTATTTTTTGATACCAAAGAAGCATTTTTTGTAAGTACGGGTGCTTTGAAAAAAATGAAATACTAAAAAACTTTTGCGACTACGCGACTGTACGAGGGCGGTGGGGCACTATTACAGTATTTACGGTAACTATGTAATCAATCGAACTAATCTCAAATTTCATCGTTTTTGACTGCTCGATTTCACACTTTAAAAAAAATAAACTAATGCGAGCTTTTCAGAATTTCTTAAAGAGCAATTTGTAAATAAATAATAGGGCTTTTTGATAAAATAAACCATAAATTGATTGGTTCATTATTCATTTCAAAAAGTAACCTTTAAAAAAAGCGAACAAGACTTTCTGGCCAATCTGATAAATCCGTTTCACTAATTGTTTTCAGCTTGCTTTTGGTGGTTTGCCAGTTTGCTCATTTGCGTAATCAGTCTTTCAATCGCTGCTCCTTCAAACTCTGAATTCTTTTAATCAATCAGAATTTGGTCTGATTTCTTAAAGCATTTCAAGCGCTTCAATTAATTAGCCAAACAATTAGCCAATCAGTTTCAAGCGCTTCAATCAATTAGTCAACCAATTAGCCAATCAATTAGCCAATCAACTAGCCAATCAACTAGCCAATCAACTAGCCAATCAACTAGCCAATCAACTAGCCAATCAACTAGCCAATCAACTAGCCAATCAACTGGCCAATCAACTAGCCAATCTACTAACCAATCAACTAGCCAGTCAACTAGCCAGTCAACTAGCCAGTCAACCAGCCAGTCAACTAGCCAGTCAACTAGCCAGTCAACTAGCCAGTCAACTAGCCAGTCAACTAGCCAGTCAACTAGCCAGTCAACTAGCCAGTCAACTAGCCAGTCAACTAGCCAGTCAACTAGCCAATCAACGCATAGTTTCCAGATCTAGCCCTACCGTTTTAGCTTCCCTCTAGCAGCCTGACAGTTGCCAAAGTCATTCAAGAAATTCTGCATCTCTTATTTTTAGCTTTAGAAATATTCACTCTCTCAGAACGCTCATCTAATATCCACTTCACCCCAGCGCTTCCCGCTTCCCAGCTTCCCAGAGCGCGAAATTTGCATTTGAATTGCGAATGCAAGGGTTCTTACGAGAAAAACCGTATTGACAATCGTCCTTGGAATAATCTCATCTTACCCTTCTTGCTTCAGGATTAGAAAATAAATATTTTTTCCCTTTGATTGCCTTAAAACAGTGCCTCCTTTTGTCAAT